GCTCGTCCCGCCCCCACCCCATCCGCCGGGCGAAGACTGGGCCGTGCCAGCTAGTCCGGTTGGGGCGGGTTTGCCCCCCCGAGTCGCTTCGAAAGGGGCTGAGCCGGCCTGATGTTTCTGCGCTCGGCCTCTGTTATCCTAGCATACGCCGGCGCGGCTGTCCAGCCCTGACTTGCGGCTGGCAGCGTTCCAGGACTGGCCTGGAAAGTAATCGGGTCTCTTCCCCGACTTCACTGCGAACGTTAGCAATGCCAGGGAAAAGAAGTCTGGGCCCGTAGGAGCCCCCGCAGTCCGTCCCCGGTCTGTGCGGTGGCTGAGCTCCAGGACACGCCTGTCGCGCAGGGCCTCGGGAGCAGGGCCAGCGGTGCCACGTGTGAGGCTTTGTGCGGAGCGGAAACGCAGGGTCCCCTGTCACAGGCAGGGAAGTGCCGTTAACGGTGCTAAAATATAAAATCTTTCTTCACTGGTACACTTTCAGCTCACGGTGGTAAGTTTGCCGTTTAATGCCATGAATCCTACCCTTTTTCTTTCTATCATGCAACGCCAGTTTTAAATACAATTTAAGAACATTGAGCTTATGTGCAGAATCACTGGAATTTTGCAGTGTGTGTTTCTTAACTCATACAAGCATATTGTATTTCGTTCATTCGTACTACAACCGTGGAAACGCTGCACAAAGTTAACTCACCTTTGTAAATTTTATTTTATTTTTAATTTTTTGTTTCAGTAACTTTAGGGGCACAAGTGGTTTTTGGTTACGTACTGCATAGTGGTGGCAAAGTCTGGTCTTTTAACTAAACCCATCACCCCACCAGTGCACATTGTACTCCATAGGTAATTTTTATTTTTTATTTTTTTTGGAGATGAAGTCTCACCAAGTTGCCCAGGCTGGTCTTGAACCCCTGGGCTCAGGTAGTCCTCTCATCTCGGCCTCCCAAAGTACTGGGATTACAGGCTTGAATCACGGCGCCCAGCCCATATGTGATTTTTCATCCCTCTCTCCCCACCCTACCCCTACTGAGCCTCTAGTGTCCATCATACCATCCTCTATGCCTTTGCACACCTTTTGCAAAGGAGAAGGGTAAACCTACCTGTCATGACTGTGAGGAGTTGAAAGGTGTCTGCAGTGCCTCGCACAGCATCTGGTGTGTAGCCTGCACTCAAGTGATCGCCGTTTGGTTTGCGATAGTTGATGATCCCTTTGGGGTTGTGTCTGCAAAGCCACTTCCCTTCTCTAACCCTTCTTTCTGGGCCGGTGATTCCCACCAGTGGACTCCAGCTAACTGAGAGATTCCGCTTGCCTCCGTCTGGCCACAGGCTGCGCTCCTGGAGTTGGTTTGAGAGCCTTTCTAGCGCCTCTCTCCTGTGCCTCCAGCTCCAGTCTTGCCCACACACATAAGCCACTTGCACATAATGCCACGCTGCCTGCAGCCCCGGGCTGTTGGCCTGGCCGAGTTGTGCATTTCTGAACCAGTTCTTCAGGCCCTAGCCGCCCAGGGTTGGGCTTTTTATATTTCAGTGGGGACATAAAACAAACAAACTGACCTTCTTTTGGAGATAGTAAAGGGTGTAAAATTAGGATTCTATTTGAATTTTAACTTGAGTCCTTATCATCTCTACTGTTAGCAAAAAAACCTAAAGTTATCATCATTATAAATGAATATACTGCTCATTGTGCAGATTTTGATATGTTTGCAAATACACTAATACCTGCCGGTTGCCTGATAAATAATGTGATAAAATGCTAACATTTGGGAAGTATGGGTGAAGAGTATACAGGAATTTTTTGTATGTCATAACAGTCAATCTGAAATTATTTTAAAAGAAAAAGTTAAAATGTCTCATTCCTGAACAATTTATAGATTATTCAACTCAAAACTATGTTTAAGATCATTGAAGCATGATTATGTATGATTTGGGGCCCATTATCAACAGTTATTTACATCCTATTTAGGAGACAGGTTGTATATTTGATAAAGTACTGAAACAAATATCAAGTCCTAAGTGTACCCAATTGCATGCTTGTATAAGATACATTGTTGAAAAAAATATCATCAAAACTAGAAACCCAGTTTCTAAGAAACCTATGTATCTTTGGAAAAATTTTTGGAAGAATATTTCAAGTGATGCTGAGGGACCACCTTTCACTTACTAAACAAGCCTGTGAAAGGCAGAGCTACTTCAGATTCTTTTTTTATTTTTTATTTTGAGTCAGAATCTTACTCCATCACGCAGGTAGAGTGCCGTGGCCCACTCACAACTACTGCAGCCTTGACCTGCCAGGCTCAGGCGATCCTTCCACCTCAGCCTTCCAAGTAACTGGAACTACAGGCACACGCCACCATACCCAGCTAATTTTTTGATTTATTGTAGAGATGAGGTCTCGCAAGTTGCCCAGTGCTCTTAGAAACGTTGGTGTTCTCATTAAAGCTGTTAATAGACCATCTCATTCATCTGAAGTGGCGGCCGGGCACAGTGGCTCACATCTGTAATCCCAGCACTTTGGGAGGCCAAGGAGAGTGGATTGCCTGAGGCCGCGGATTCGAGACCTGCCCAGGCAACTTGGCGAGACCTTGTCTCTACAATAAATCAAAATTTAGCCAGGTGTGGTAGCGTGTGCCTGTAGTTCTGACTACTTAGAAGAATAAGACAGAAGGATCATGCTGGGGTGGCCGTGAATGTGCACTCCAGCCTGGGTGACAGAGTGAGACTCCAACTCAAAAAAAAAGAAGAAGAAGAAGAAGAAACGCCCTGGCCTGGGATGCCCCGCCTCCCTCATACTACTTTTATTTTTCCTGCCCTCATTTTCTCTATCTCCCTATGCCTGTGCACCTCATCACCTGAAAACTTGAAATAAGAGACTAATCTCTGTGTATGTATGTCTGTGTATACTTAGCATATATTTTAAATACCAAATTAAGATGGGTTAGGTCAGCAGAATAATCAAACATTGAAGCTGTTTGTGTAGAAAATATGTTTATTTGTAAATGGAGTAAAAGCTTGAATTTCGAAAGCTAATCATTCCATAGAAGTTTTCATTTCTATTAGTAATTTAAATTTTCTTTTGAAAAAAATGAGTCTGCGGAACTCAATTTTTAGCCTAAATGTCAGACATATTGCCAGGCACGGTGGCTGACATCTGTAATCCCAGCACTTTGGGAGATGGAGGCGAGAGGGTTGCCTGAGTCCAAGGGTTCGAGATCAGCCTGGGCCACTTGATGAGACCTCATCTCTGCACTAAATCAAAAAATTAGCTGGACGTGGTGGTGCGCGCCTATAGTTCCAGCTACTTGGAGGGCTGAGGCAGAAGGCTGAGGCAGAAGGATCGCCTGAGCCCAGCAGGTCGAGGCTGTGGTAGCTGCGAGTGTGCGCCTGCACTCCTGCCTGGGCGACAGAGTGAGACTCCAACTCCAAAAAAAAAGTCAAATGTAAAATAGAAAACACAAATTATCTGTTACAGAAATACCTGAGAGCCCTATATATGTACTGCTTGCTTGCTTGCTTGAGTTGGAGTCTCACTCTGATGCCCAGACTGGAGTGCAGGGGCTCAGTCACACAGCCTTGACCTGCGGGGCCTAGGCGATCCTTCCGCCTCAGCCTTCCTAGTAGCTGCAACTACAGGCTCACCTTTGTGTACTGTTGTCTACACCCATTTAAGCACTTATTCATAAACCTTGCTAAGTACCTTTTGTTTCAAGACCCATATCCTTTAGAAAATTTCATGTTCAGACCCAGATATATGACTAAATCATATGTGCTGTCTTGAGGTTTGGCATTTTCTCACTCTATTCTATGTCAACCATTTAAAGTATCTCTGTTAAAAGACATCACTTGTCCATTTCTGACTTGGAATATTAAATGCTAGAGGCTGTGATTGCCATTCTGTAAAGATAGAAACCTAAATACTCTTGTTCTCTTTCTGTGACTGACCTCTTAATGTTAATTTCCAGAGTAGAAGCTGTTCATGCTTGGTGCACCGTGAATTCTTGAAATAATTAACCAACAGTAGCTTTATTTGTACAACCTCACACCGAAAGAAGAAAGAAAATGCCTTGTTCAGAGTTTTCTTTTCATGTACCAAGTCTAGAGGAGCTTGCTGGAGGTAAAAACAATATTAATCTTGGATTTTAAAAAAATTATTCTAAGAAAAAAAATCTTGTAAGATTCTAAGATATATCAATATCTTACTATTTATCTGTAGCTCTGTCTTAGCAATATAATATTCTTGATACAGATTTCATTTTCCTTTTCAGTACCTGTTCTGTACATTTGTTATTGAGAAAGTCCAAAATATTCTGTTTCTCCAAAAAAACTAAACTCGCCATTTGTAGTTGCCCAAGTTGGTCTTGAACTCCTGGCCTCACACGATCCTCCCACCACGGTTTCCTAATGTGCTGGGATCACTGTGCCTAGGCCCATAGATTCTTGATGACATCAATTTGACAAGTTGAAAATGACTACATATAGTAAGTAATCCAAGATTTAGGGATGTGTGATGCCCAAAGAGTTGCACCATTCTGCTTTAATTTTTTATCTGTTGTGGTGTGCTTTAAATACATGATCTACTGTTTTGTATTAACCATGTTCCTGAATGCTCCTTTCTCCCATTTTCTGATATGACAGACTGCCGATGAACTTACTTAGATCTCTCTGATTGTATATTTTTATATTTCACCCTGTTCAAATAAACATTTAAGGCAGTTTCCCAAGATAGCCAAATTAGAGGGAGGAAAGATAGATTTAAAAAAATGGGGATGCAAAATGAAGCTAGGACTGGCACTAACACAAAACTGGTCAGCCTGTCAGAAGGTGGCCTTGACTTGACACTTCCGTTCTAGATTGTAACTATGGAACCTTCCCTTATTTCTCCAGGTGTGTTGTCCTGGCAGTTCGTCTGTCTTCCTAATAAGATTGAAGTAAAAATATACTCATTTTTCGCCTTGTTGTGGCTTCTGCTTGTACCCTTCCTGGCTAGTAAACAGTCTGTATGGCGAGTATTCCTTTACCTGTATTCCTTCCTGGCTAGTAAACAGTCTGTATGGCGAGTATTCCTTTACCTGTATTTCTTTTCTATCAATCTTTCTGTTTTTCCTAATAAAACAGGGCAAGTAGGAACTTTTCTTCGAGTGCCTATTTCTTTTTTTCTAAAATACTATATTTATAAACTGTAGGGAGGGTTGGATGTGAAACCAGAGTCACAAGTAGTGAAAGTGTTCACCAAGACAGTTATGAAATAAGAAAGGTAGATTTGTTAAAGACAGAGATAATGCTGCAAGACAGCAGTGGGCAGCACAGCAGAGACAGGCTGTTTGTTGTCTACCTGAGTGCCCTTGTAGAACCTATTTTCACTTGTGTGTTTATGTTTTTGTTTTTCTTCTATATGTACAGGCCATACTCAGTACAAAACAAAAATATAATGTAAATTTCTCAGAATAAAATTTATTTTCTGCCGGGTGCAGTGGCTCATGCCTGTAATCCCAGTACTTTGGAAGGCAGAGGCAAGAGGATTATCTGAGTCCAGGGGTTTGAGATCAACCTAGGCAACTTGGCGAGATCTTGTCTCTATAATAAAAAATTAGCTGGGTATGGTGGTTTGAACCTGTGGTTCCAGCTACTAGAAAGGCTGATATGGAAGTATCACCTCAGCCCAGCAGGTCAGGGCTTGCAGTAGCCATGAGTGTGCCACTTCATTCCAGTCTGGGCGACAGAGTGAGACTGCTACTAAAAAAAAAAAATTATTTTCAATTTTTACAGACGATCTTATAACAAGAACTCAGTCCCTTTGCAATTGGTTAAAAAATAGGTTTTGTTATATTTCTGCACACTGAATCTTAACTTATATATTCGTAAGTCTACAGTCGTTAGGTAGAGGAGTTTTTTTAGTCAACTTGGATTCTGTTCTCATACAGATTAAAAATATAGTATGGAATGTCTATATAGCTAGATTTAGAATGACTTCATGTTCTCAGAGTCTGATTCTAAAAGACTAAACTAACAGCTGACACTACTATCAAAAATTTTATTAAAACTCTTATCATTAAAAGTACATTCCTTTGGCCAGTCATGGTGGCTCAGCCTGTATTCCCAGCACTTTGGGAGGCTGTGGCGAGTGGATTGTCTGAGCCCCCGGGTTCAAGACCAGCCCGGGCAACTTGGTGAGACCTCATCCTTACAGTAGATAAAAAGTTAGCCAGGCATGGTAGCACATACCTATAGTTCCAGCTACTTGATGAAAGGCTGAGGTGGAAGGATCTCCAGAGCCAGCAGGTCAATGCTGGGGTGACTGTGAGTGTGCCAGTGCACTCCAGCCTGGGCAATAAAGTGAGACAACTCAAAAAAAAAAAAAGTGCATCCCTCTTAAATTTATATCTTTGAGACACCAGTGTTTTATTTACAGGAGGTATAACATATCTACAGTAAAATACACCAATCTTTCAGCATACAGCTTGATGAATGGTTATATTCATGTAATTACCATCCAGATCAAAATTTAAAATGTTTCCAACATCTCAGAAGGCTCCTTCCCAGTTTCTCTACCCCAAGAAATAATGACAATTCTAACTTCTGTCACCTTGGACTAATAGTTGCCTGTTTTTGAAGTACATAAGTGAAGTCATGTAGCATGTACTCTTATGTTTGGCTTCTTTTGCTTACTTTTTAAATAGTTTAAATGTTTGCATTTCAGTTGACTTTTGTAATTCCCTCCAAGAAAAGGAAGGTAGTCCTCATGTGAGTGTAGTCTGTTTATCTTGTTTATTTTCAATAATTTGTAATCACTGGAGATGAGGTATTTTTATATCTCTGTCTATATTATAGCTTGTGTTTAATTATGTCTAGTTACATTAATAAGACCATTTCCTTCCTCTTTTTTATTACACAAGTTTAGGTTGGGAGTGTGACACACAGGAAAGTTGAGGGGAAATTTGATTAGTGGTAGCCCAATTTTTGCCTAATGTCAAACAACCTTTTTCTTGTCTTTGTCAGTTCTTCAGAAGGGGCTACAAGATAACTTTGCTGAAGTCCAGGTTTCTGTAGTTGATTGTCCTGATTTGACTAAGGAACCATTTACCTTTCCTGTAAACGGTAAGCAGTTTTTTAATTAGCTTTTGTGTTGCAGTCATAACTTTTTTCTGAATTATTTTTCAGAATTATTTTTAAGGGTCATCTTAAATTATCTGCAAATAAAAGGTATTGTCACACATTTAAGGCTAAAGTGTACTTAGTTTCTGTGCTTATTGTTTCCTAGTATTGATCTGATTTCATTTTATACCCTTGTGGAAAAAGATTGTGTTATCATAATAATAGGTTATATAATAAACATTCAGTAGGCTAGAATTCCTGATATCATGTGAGAGTTTTAATTGCTCAAGACTTATGGAAACTGACTTTAGTTTTTGTCTTTCTTTATTTATTTAAGACCAGAAGGAATCCTAAAAATTTAAAAGCCTTATATTGCAATCATCTATTAAATACATGTACCCTTCGATAAATTTGCCAAATGATCATCTACTGTTTGAAGTAAGAAAGGATATTCGTATTGGTTGAGTAAAATAAGTATGACAAATAACCTATATTTGATGTCTTAATTTTTATAATAATACTGCAAAGTAAGCACCAGCCCCAGGTTTTTTATGTTGTTTTTGTTTTTGAGTCAGGGTCTCACTCTGTCATCCAGTCTGGAGTGTACTAGCATAAGCAGGCCTCACCACAGCCTCGACCTCCTGGCCTTGGGCATTCCTTCCACCTCATCCTCCTGAGTAGCAGGGACTACACCTGCTACTCAGCCACCATGCCCAGCTAATTTTTTTTTTAATTTTGTACAGATGAAGTTAGCCCCAGGTGATAGATGAGAAAACTGAAGCTGAGCAAGACTAAGCTCTTTGTTCATCGTAGCCAGCATTCAAATGCAAGTCTGTCCGTTTTGAAAGCCTAACCTTCTTCCCATTCCTAATAATCTCACTGTGTCACCCAGGCTAGAGTGCAGGGGGACAATCATGGCTCACCACAGACTTGACCTCCTGGGTTTAGGCAATCCTTCCCACCTCAGCTTCCCCAGTAGCTGGGATTACAGATTTGTGCTACCACTCCCAGCTAATTTCTTTTTTAATTTTTGTAGAGACAAGGTCTTGCTGTGTTGCCTAGGCTGGTCTTAAACTCCTGGGCTCAAGCCATCCTCCTGCCTCAGCCTCCCAAATTGCTAGGATTACAGACATGAATCACGGCACCCAACCTGTTCTTTTTATTTATGTAACTGACATCTTTATTGAAAAGTAGTCTCTGGACTCTAGTTCTATCCTTGCTACATACAAATTTCATTACCCTGAGTAAGCCACTTAATGTATCTGACCCTCAGATACACTAAAATGGGGGGGATTTGAATTGAATGTTCTTTTTGGGTCTTTCCAACTTAAACAGTCTTTGATTTTAAGCGACCTGTGATTTCAGAAGGTTTGTATGTCATATGGCGGTTTCTCTTAGCACTTTAGCATTTAGCATAATACTTTTTTATACCCTGTTTCTTTCAAATACGACAGTATTATATACCCCTTGCTAATTAATTAAAGTTAAATAAATGTGAGAAGATATAGAAAAGCACAAGGAAGAATTAAAAATGGTTAATCTTTATTATCCAAAGGATTATATTTTGAAAAAAAGTTTTCTGGTCAATAATTTGTGAGTCTTTAAGTTGCAGTACTGGACACCAGATTTGTATGTAATATGTATGTGCATCATCTTTCATGGAAAGGGAACACTCTACATGAACTGGTCTTACTAAGGTCACCAGTGGCCTTGGTGTATTTACAAGCATGATTTCATTTCTCTGCATCTCTCATACTGCTTGGCCATTGCCACCTGTCATTCTCTCCTTGGTCCATCCCTTCTTCCTTGGTGCTTTTCCTTCTTCCCTTCTTCCTCATTTTTCCTGGCTCCTTTCTCTTTCTGATAAGCTCTTGTTTGGGGGTTTTTGTTTTGTTTTTTTAATAAATTAACCACCATAAGTTATCTCCAAATGACAAGCTCTTGAATATTGATGTTTTCCAGAACTCTTCCTTAGGGTCTTCTTGTTTTGAATAATCTCCCTGGGCTTTTTCGTCTACTCTTGTGATTTTCTATATTACTTAAAATACAATATCTTTGAAATTTGCACATCTCACCTGGATCTCTCTTTCTTTGCTATGGATCAGTATTTCCAGCTGCCTGTAGTACATACCCATTCATCTATGCTAAGGACAACTGGAGGTCAACATGTCTAACGTTTAACTCAGCACTTTGTCATATTTGCCTGTCTCCTTTGCCCTTGTTTAAACTTCTGCTTCTCCATCTTTACAGTCACCATTATTAGCTGTTACTTGTCTTTTCCCTGGACTCCTGAAGAGAGTCCCCTATGGTTTTTCTAAGCTTCAGCATCACCGTCATTCATGGGAAAGTCTTGTCCATTAGTAACTTCTGCTGATTCCATGGAAAACATTTCCAAAATATCCAACTGCAAAGGAGCCTGTAAGAATTTTGTAGCCGGGCTCGGTGGCTCAGCCTGTAATCCCGTGCTTTGGGAGGCTGAGGTGAGTGGATTGCCTGAGCCCGCGGGTTCGAGACCTGCGGGGGGCCAGCCCCTGCAAGTTTTGGGGAGTCCCTTGGAAGATGTGGTGGCGTCGGCGAATCTGTAGGGATAGATATTAAAAGAAAGAAAGAGAAGGCAAAAGAAAGTAAGTGGACAACCGTTCAATGAAATGAGCAGAAGCCGTTTATTGAAAGTTATAGCAGGTATTTATCCCCAAATTTTACACAGGCAGTCTCACAAGTCTTTCACGTGAACACAAAGCCAGGTGTAGGAGGGGCATACCCCACCCACCAGATGCTTAGGTGTGAGGAGAGACAACCCTAAGATTGTCTTATTGTTCCCTTTGCTAGTTAATGCAAAAGCAGTGCAACAATCCTTACTAGCCTGATGATGCTCTGATAATCAGTAACTTCCAGAGCTCACATAAAACCCATGATGACCAACTTAAACTTTATTACCTTTCTATTCTATGCTAATACTACTCACACAATGCTGCGGAAGCTCTTAGTTATAGCTTAAGCCAATTCCTAAAGAATGTGGCCCAGTCCAAAGATCACACTGGGCTCTACGGGATGTGGCCCAGTCCAAGGTCCATGGTGGGCCACCTTTTGGAACAATAGACTACAATCTCTTAACAAAATGGCTATTCTAAAGTCCTATATATCTATCCTAATTTCTATGAAAGTTTCCAATTCCTAATTCTAATATATAAAGCTGATTAGCAGGAGCAAAGCTTCTAAAACCTAAATATAAACTGTAAATGTACTAAGGCCAAAACCTCGATAGTAGAAAATGGAGACAATGAAATTTCTAAAGTTAACTACATTCTTATTAAACCTAAAAATATTATGATTGATTATGCTTGAACTAACATGATGCCTTGACGTAGCATGACCTATTCTACAATACCTTCTATGAATAAAATAAATTCAATTTCTATAATAGGTAGAAAAAAGACCTTACACTAACTGTTAACTGTAGCTAAAGCCGGCCTAAAAGAATGCAGCCCAGTCCAAAGTACGCGCTGGGCTCTCAGGAATGTGGCCCAGCCCAAACTCTGTGCTGGGCCACTCTTGATAATCATCTATACCATTGAAAAGCTGAAAACAGCTCTCCATAAGTATATACTAATTCTACAAATATTCTTTTAAATCTTATAAAGAAGTTTGTGCCATGTAAAAGGCTCCCAAATGTGACCTGAGTTTGAATTATATCTAATACCTAAGCCAAAACCGCAGTTTATGGGAAACAGGAACAATGGATTTCTAGAGTGAGCCATGCCTGTCACAGTCGCAGAGCCTTCAGCTTAGGCCAGCAGAGTTCCTTTAGGTTGTTTGTACTGCATGGCAAAAGGGGGAGGAAAATGGGGTCTGCGGCTCCCGAACACGTCCTAGCAGTCTCGGAGTCCACGGCCCTCCCTGATCCCTAACGCTTAGTGGGGCTCCGTGGCCGGCTCCCAACAGAGACCCACCTGGGCAACTTGGCGAGACCTCATCTCTACAATAAAAATCAAAAATCAGCCGGGCGTGGTAGCACGCGCCTGTAGTTCCTGCTACTTGGAAGGCTGAGGCGGAAGGATCGCCGGAGCCCAGCAGGTCGAGGCTGCGGTGGCCGGGAGCGGCCACTGCACTCCAGTCTGGGCGACAGAGTGAGACTCCAACTCAAAAAAAAAAAAAGAATTTTGTACATTGCCCTTCTACATATCTGAAAAAAGTAACAGCAATTACATCTACTTTACTGTGTAATATGTTAGCATAAAACTGGTGAGACTACTTTTTCTCAAATAAAAGATAATTAATTAAACCTTCTCCCAAATTGTGTCTTGCCATACCTGTGATGTTAATAAAAAATGTAAGTAGAAAGTTTCTAGCATCTTAAGTTATCTCTGATTACTCATCATTTTTATAACCCACCTTAGGAATACACAACTTTGGCAAGAGGATTTCCCAGTGTGGATCTAAATAACTTATATTCTACCAGAGCAAAATATTTTAAATTAAAAAAAAAAATTAGCCAAAAAAAACCCAAAGCACATTTTTAAAGCAATAAAGCATTACAGACTAATTCTAGAAGTTTCATCCAATCCAGATTTATCCTATATCGACTTTGTGCTGCCTTTTTGCCACCAACTGTATCAAGCCATGTGTGATTTGGATGATTATTGGAGACACAGCTGGTGAAAACAGGGCAGAGGTACTAGCTGTCTCAATCCCTGCTATTTGTAAAACTCTTTATGAGAATGGAGAAGTTGGCTGCTCTTGATACATTAGTGTCTCATATTTTTTGCTTAAATTAGATGTTTGCCTGTTTTTAAGATGGCTTGTGTTTTTTAGGCATCTGTGGGAAAACTAGAATTGCAGAAGTAGGAGGCGTGCCTTACTTATTGCCTCTTGTAAACCAAAAAAAAGTAAGTGTGCTTTTACTCTTCATAGTCATGTGAAGATTTTAGAAGTTGAGTTGATTCCTCTGTTTATTATTAAAGGACTCATTGATCAATAGGACAAGTGCTGAGTCCACTATTCAGTCATGAAAGTGAACCAGAAGTTATTATTTAAATGACTTTTTTTCCTCTTCTATAGGTTTATGATCTGAATAAAATTGCAAAAGAAATCAAGCTGCCTGGAGCTTTTATTCTCGGAGCGGGGGCAGGTCCATTTCAGACTCTTGGGTTCAATTCTGAGGTCAGCATATATTATTATTTTTATCACATTGTTTTTTTTCTCCCTTGTACTGCCAAAAAGCCTACTTTCTGAGTGAATCGTAAGTGGTGAATGTCATGTATGGCTACAGATTTGATACAGAACTTGGATATACAATGAGCCCAACTGTAATGGAGTACTGACCTCTAGGTTTTCTTAGGATAGAGGCTCACCTGTAGGGTATTCTGCTGAAAGTCCTGGATTATGAAATATTTGTATTCTTATATATCAAGGGATTCCTGTAACTTTTCTATAAATCTTTGCTGTTGGTGTGAATTCAACTTTGGATCGAAGATGAGTGGAATATTTAATGGCCTAGTCAACTCCCTCCTCTGACCAAATAGTAGAAAAGTGTCAAAGTAGTATGACTTATAAAATGAAATATCTATTACTAGTATAGACCTCTTGTATATGTCATCCTACACTATAAAAACAGTATAAAAATAATTACTGTTTCTTTGTGTCTCATGAATAGAAGAGTGAATGACCTCTTCAATCTTCCCATTCTTGTACAACCTCTTCAGAACAAGTTCTTTGCAGAAACGTTAATATAATTTGCCTAGTGTTCAAGATAGAAAAAAGTGGCCGGGCTCGGTGGCTCAGCCTGTAATCCCAGCAATTTGGGAGGCCGAGGTGAGTGGATTGCCTGAGCCCGCAGGTTCGAGACCCACCTGGGCAACTTGGCGAAACCTCATCTCTACAGTAAATCAAAAAATTAGCCAGGCGTGGTAGCGCGCGCCTGTAGTTCCAGCTACTTGGAAGGCTGAGGCGGAAGGATCGCCGGAGCCCAGCAGGTCGAGGCTGCGGTGGCTGGCAGCAGCCACTGCACTCCAGTCTGGGCGACAGAGTGAGACGCCAACTCAAAAAAAAAGAAAAAGCTTAAAATTTAAAATTAGATATTTTAAAGCATATGTTACAGTGGTATAGATACACTATGGGAAATACCATAAACATTTTAAAAAATATTTTTCCAGTTTTTTGTATCTAAATTAAGTATTACATATTTTATGTTTTCTTATTAGGATTTGAAATAGAATGTCTTTTATTATAAAGAACACAGATGAACAGACAGGTGAAGCGGTACACAGGGCAAGGTACGGGGGGCAGGGCATAGAATGTCTGTGCCCTCTCTGCACGAGCCATCCTCCCAGCCTCTCATGTAGTCAGCTGCAGGGCATCTTACGAAATATCTTACAGGCATAAAATGTTTTGTAGCATTACTCAAGATATTCTCTTTCCACAGAGATACTAAGGTTGGCTGATTGCCTTATTTTCTTTTCAGTTTATGCCAGTGATTCAAACAGAAAGTGAACACAGACCTCCTGTGAATGGAAGTTACTTTGCCCGTGTTAACCCAGAAGATGGAGGGTGCCTACTAGAGAAATACAGTGAGAAATATCACGATTTTGGGTGTGCATTACTGGCTAATCTCTTTGCCAGTGAGGGCCAAGCAGGCAAGGTGATTTTGTCCATAAAAATACAGTATTCTCTAAATGTTCTTAGATAGCTAAAAACGTGAACTTTTATTGCCTCAAATGTGGTTTTCCTAAGAAAATCAGAGCTGTTGAAATCAAAGCTCCTTTAAATAAGCCCATAAGGGAACGGGCAACAATGCTGATTTGGGAAGTGTGTTGCTTACGTGAATGATGCAGCCAAAATAAACAGATAATGCCTACTTACAGGTGGTCAATAGGTAATTTCCTCATTCCTGACTGAACTTCAATTTCCATTGCTCTAGATAGGAATGGTGGTAGTGGGCTGGGTATGGTGGCTCAAGCCTGTAATACCAGCACTTTCTGAGGCCAAGGCAAGAGGATGCCTGAGTCCAGGGGTTCAGGACCAGCCTGGGCAACTTGGTGAGACCTCTTCTCTACCAAAAAAAAATCAAAAAATTAGCCAGGCATGGTGGCTTGCACTTTTAGTTCCAGCTACTTGGAAGGCTGAGGTGGAAGGATTACCTGAGCCCAAGGTCAAGGCTGCAGTAGCCATGAGTGTGCCACTCTACTCTCCTGGGCAACAGAGTGAGACTCTGACCCAAAAAAAAAAAAAGAAAAGAAAGAAATGGTGGTAGCAATAACAGCAAGAAGAAGATAAGGAAAATTAATGCCTTCATATTTATTTCCCGTTAGTACACAAAAGATGATTTCAGTGTTAGCATTTGCAAGGACTCTCCGATTTTGTAAGTGGAGATAGTTGCTTCAGCTACTTTAATAACACAGTCCAGAATTTTAAGGGAAGTGAGAAAATTTAATCATTTTCCCTTCACCTTCATTTACCAGAGGTTAATTCCTTTAAGCTAAGGAATTCCCAACCTTTTACCACGTTGACACTTATGTTAAGAGTCTCTAGAGTTCATTATAAGACTTATCTGTAACACTCACTTCAAGAAAGCATAAATAAGACTTCTCATTAGATTATATATAACTGATATATATATGTGTAGATATATATGATTGATCAAGACTCAAAGGATTGAGACACTTCAACTCAAATCTAGGGGTTTTAAGCAAAAAAGAGAATACTTGCTCGATGGCATTAAATTATACAATGTCTTACTTTGGAATTTATTTACATAAAATATTGCAGCCTAATCAGTGGTTTGCATATTTATGTCCTCTGTAGGTCATTGAGGTGAAAGCCAAAAGAAGAACTGGACAACTTAACTTTGTGACTTGTATGAGACAAACTCTGGAAAAACATTATGGAGATAAGCCTGTAGGAATGGGAGGTACTTTCGTGATTCAGAAGGGAAAAGTGAAGTCTCACATAATGGTAAGCACCTGTATGTACGCATGCATGTAAGATTTGGTGTATATGCACATGCGTGATATCTTAGGATTTTTAAATGTAGATTGGAAATTCTGTCTTTAAAGGCACCCTAAAAAACGTATACTATGATTCTATTACTTTAAAATTTAATGGCAAGCAATACTGTAAGTGGTATTGTGAGGTAATGTCTAGCTAGAGTACTTTTTTCATGTTAATACATTAGAACTTGCTTTTCAGTGTGTTTGTTTGTAAGAGCAATATAAATTCAAGTGTAAGTCTTAAAAACTGCTTACTGTCTTCATTGCCAGAACCGCAGACTATCAGGGCATGTCTCATAGTGGTCACAGAGTATAGGCTCTATTTTTGGGTGATTTGGGTACAGCACAAGATTCATTTGTCTGCTTGGTCAGCTACAATCCTAGCTGAGGTGCCATGAGGTGTCACTCAGGTTCTTCAAGTTCCTCTGGAAATCCTTCCTGTTGGTGCAAAGCAGGAGACACCCAGAGGCCGGTGTCGGGAATTTCATGGCCTTTACTTGCCTAACCTGTAGGTCATTGAGGTGAAAGCCAAAAGTAGAACTGGACAACTTAACTTTGTGACTTGTATGAGACAAACAATGATAGCCCAGTTGGAAGCCATACTAGTTCTTCAGGCCCTCACTGGGATTTCCGTCGAGTCGTATTGAATTTTTAGATAGCTTTGGGTAGTATTGACATCTTAATACTAAGTTGTCCAGTCCCTAAACACAGCATGCCTTTCCATTTATTGGAGTCTTCTTGAATTTCAGCAATGTTATGAAGTTTTCAGTGTACAAGTTTTTTGCCTCTTTAGCTAAGTTTATCCCTAAGTTTGTTTGTTTGTTTTCTTTCTGTAATAGGCCAGATAATATATCCCTAAGTATTTTATTCTTTTTGACACTTCTACACACTTTTAGTGCCTTGTTTGTTTGTTTTTCCCATTACTGGCAAAAGTAATGAAAAAGATAGTAATAGCATTTATTCATTCGTAAGTTTTAGTTTGTATATGTTAATGGGTTATCCTTTTGAAAACTAACATTTATAACTTTTTTTGATACCAAAATAGTAAGATGCATAAGAAGACTTAAAAATGCTAACATAATGAAATTATATATTTTTAACATTTTTAATCATCAGTAATAGTCCATGTTTACCTGTTTAATGATCTTGTGTTGTAGCCTGCAGAATTTTCTTCCTGCCCCTTGAATTCTGATGAAGAGATGAATAAGTGGTTGCATTTTTATGAGATGAAGGCTCCTTTGGTTTGTCTACCAGTTTTTGTCTCCAGAGACCCAGTAAGTCTGTGCCTGTCTTTTATATTGCTCTGTACTACAATGATAATGCTTGAGTTTTAGGATATTCTTTAAGAACTAGGAAGTTTTTGTGTTGTAGTTACTTAAGAATTAGGATAATCTCCAGACTGTTGAACGATAAGAGAGCTTCTAACAATCTGATGAGTGAGGCAGAGCAGATTGTACCTTTGAGAAAGTGAAAGCACAGGTATTTTTTCTTTTTTTTTTTTTTTTTTGAGTCGGAGTCCCACTCTGTCGCCCAGACTGGAGTGCAGTGGCCGCTCCCGGCCACCGCAGCCTCACCTGCTGGGCTCCGGCGATCCTTCCTCCTCAGCCTTCCGAGTAGCCGGAATTACAGGCATGCGCTACCACGCCCGGCTGATTTTTTGATTTATTGTAGAAATGAGGTCTCGCTGCCCAGGCGGGTCTCGAACCCGCAGGCTCAGGCAATCCACTCCCCTCAGCCTCCCAAAGGCGCGGGATTACAGGCTGAGCCACCGAGCCCCGCTAGGCACAGGTATTTTAAGTGACACCCAAAATCATTTTATTAAATAGTATGTGTAGGCCGGGCTCGGTGGCTCAGCCTGTAATCCCAGTACTTTGGGAGGCCAAGGCAAGTGGATTGTCTGAACCCGCAGGTTCGAGACCAGCCTGGGCAACCTTGTCTCTACAATAAAAAATAAAAATTAGCTGGGTGTGGTAGTGCACGCCTGTAGTTCCAGCTACTTGGAAGGCTGAAGTGGAAGGATCGTCAGAGCCCGGTAGGTTGACGCTGGTGTGGCCGTGAGTGTGCCACTGCACTCCAGCCTGGGCAATGGAGACTCCAACTCAAAAAAAAAAAATTCTCACTCATAAGCAGACCTTGAACAATGATCATAATACTATCAAAAAAGGATTGGCAGTAGTGGGAAACTGCCGGAAGGGAGGTGGGGAAGCGGAATTGGCAGTAGTGGGAATCTACCTGGGGAAGGGGGGTCACATCTCATCAACAAGGGTACCTGCTTGATGAACATTTGTATACCTAACCCTGAATTGTACCCCACAGCTTTAAAATAAAAAAACTAAAAGAAAAAAATAGTGTATGTAGCTGGGCATGACGGCGCCCTTGTAGTCTCAGTTACTCAGGAGACTGAGCCTGGGAATCTAAGGCCAGCCTGGGCAATAGCAAGACTCCATCTCTAATAAAAATATACATACATATATGGATTCAAGTCTCCCATTATCTGATATTCATTATACGCTAATGCTATATACTAGAAAAAAATGCTATAAACCAATGCAAAGCAAATATCTACTAAAATACTGGTTAGATCTTTTGACTTAGGAATTACATGTCTAGAGTTTTATCCTTAAATATATGCATAAGTTGTGTGAAAATGAGTAGTTAAGAGGTTATTCATGACAGCACTATTGTAGTAGCAGAAGAACTGGAAATAATGTAAATATCAGTTGGGAAGAGTTACATACATACAGTGGCATATACAAGTAAGTATAAAAGAATGAGGAAGCTCTTTTATGGTCTGATATACAAAGACCTCAAAACTATATTGTTAAGTGAAGAAAAGGTCTGTGCAGAAGTGTACAAAATGCTACATTTGAGTAAAAAAAAAAAAAGGGAATATTTCTGGAAGGATATTTAAGAAACTGCTTACATTAGTTGCCTGCAAGGAAGGGAAGTGAGTGGTGAGGGCAAGAGTGGGGAGGATACATTTTACTGAATATATCCTTTTGGATTCTTTTAATTTGGAGCATGTAAACGAATTACTTATTTTTTTAAAATAACTGTTACAACATAAATAATAAAGTTCTTCCGCCGCAAACGAACTCCAGTCAAAATAACTTGAGCACTGACAGATCGCTCGTCTGTGGTCCTAGGGATTCGATCTGCGCCTGGAGCACACTCATTTCTTTAGCCATCACGGAGAAGGTGGACACTACCATTCTGACACCACCCCAGACACGGTGGAGTATCGTGGATACTTCTTACCTGCAGAGCTTCTCTATCGCATCGATCAGCCAAAAGAGACCCATTCATTTGGGCGGGATTAAATCAACTGATGCTCATTTTAAAAATGAAATAATCAAGGTTAATTAGTTGGCTAACTCATTAATTGATACTAATATAGATTCTTTTTGTTTTTCAAGTCGAAGTCTCACTCTGTCGCCCAGGCTGGAGTGCAGTGACATGCTCATGGCTAACACAATCTTGACCTGCTGGGCTCGGGATCCTTCCACCTCAGCCTTCCAAGTAGCTGGAACTACTTGCTACGGGCATGCCACCATGCCCAACTAATTTTTTGATTTATTGTAGAGACAAGGTCTCACCAAGTTGCCCGGACTGGTCTCGAACCTCTGGACTCAGGCAGTCCTCTCACTCCGCCTCCCAAAGTGCTGGGATTATAAGCGAGAGCCACCACACCTGGCTTGGCTTTTCAAGTGAAGGGATATACTGACATTGTATTCTATATTATTTCATAGAACTGCCTGTCTGAAAGAGATTAGTAGCAGATGTACTTTAATTTTTTCTTATGAGCCGGGCTCGGTGGCTCAGCCTATAATCCCGCGCCTTTGGGAGGCTGAGGTGAGTGGA